AACATTAGGTATGAAGTTAAACTTATTTGCTATAGTATCGAAACGAAACTCGGCCCCGCACTAGACGTAAACAGATGCCAAGTGTGAATGTGTTTGACAAACCCGGACACTGATGCTGTTACCTTACACTCTTGTCTGGGAGACCCCCGCCAAGGAGACGTCGTGAGGGCTGATGCGGGCCTGGGGGTCCCTGAGAGGTGGCGTGAGGGCTGATGCGGGGGCTGGGGGTCCCTGAGAGATGGCGTGAGGGTTGATGTGGGGGTTGGGGGTCCCTGAGAGATGGTGTGAGGGCTGATGTGGGGGTTGGAGGTCACTGAGAGATGGCGTGAGGGCTGATGCGGGGGCTGGGGGTCCCTGAGGGCTGATGTGGGGGCTAGAGGTCCCTGAGAGATGGCGTGAGGGCTGATGCGGGGGCTAGAGGTCCCTGAGAGATGGCGTGAGGGCTGATGCGGGGGCTGGGGGTCCCTGAGAGGTGGTGTGAGGGCTGATGCGGGGGCTGGGGGTCCCTGAGAGATGGTGTGAGGGCTGATGTGGGGGCTGGGGGTCCCTGAGAGATGGCGTGAGGGCTGATGTGGGGGCTAGGGGTCCCTGAGAGATGGTGTGAGGGCTGATGTGGGGGCTGGGGGTCCCTGGGAATTGACATGAGGAGTGATGCGGGGGCTGGGGGGTCCTTGGAAGCCAAAAATATCAGCTCATCTTCATGTTTAAAAAGTACATATATTGACGTAATCTACATTTAGGAAGTGGAATTTGATACTATTGAATTTGGGCAGATCGGAAAAGTTTTTATATAAAAACTTAACCATCCTAAGCCTAATACAAGCTCTCTGGGGCCTGATATAGTTAATATACATATATGTGCTATACTAGCCTAGGAATATTTAAGTTTGGTGTTAGTTTTCCGTACTCTCTAAAGTTAATAGTATTAAATTTTACTATATAATTGTATATAGCATGTTCAGTCATCTGGACCAGCCCAGTGTTTACACACTGGTTCTTAGCTTTACTTAGCTTCGCTCAACAATTAAAGTACATCAGGACATTCAGGCACGTTCCGCCAGTGCCAAAAATTTGTGGCTGACCTAATTCATCTTGACCCAGAGAAGTTACAACACCGCCGGGGCCAGGTGTAGCGTACACGCACAGCAGGCAGTGGCCACAACAATAGTTGGCTGCCTGCCTTGCCCTGCCTTGCCCTGCCTTGCCCTGCCTTGCCCTGCTGCCCTCTCTCTCCTCTCCTGCCGGTGTTAATTCACCGGCTATCTGGACACCATCTCGTAGTACTCACCTGGGCATCCCTTTCCATGGGGACACTGCCTCTCTCAGTGGCCATGATTGTGGCTGGTGGCGCGGGGGTACTCATTCATCTGACCTTTTGAAAAAAGTGGTCTGGATCAATATCCTCCAAATTGTTGAGTATTTTAAGTTTCGATGAGAGCAGCCGTGTCATGTCTGGTTTGCATTGTTGTTAGCCCTGAGGCCCCCGACTCTTCCCGGTACACTAGGAAATCTGCAAGAGCATGGAATTGTTTTTCTGTGAGGGTGGGTGTGGTCTGTGAGAGTGGGTGTGGTCTGTGAGGGTGGGTGTGGCGTGTGAGGGTGGGTGTGGTCTGTGAGGGTGGGTGTGGTCTGTGAGGGTGGGTGTGGTCTGTGAGGGTGGGTGTGGCGTGTGAGGGTGGGTGTGGTCTGTGAGGGTGGGTGTGGCGTGTGAGGGTGGGTGTGGTCTGTGAGGGTGGGTGTGGTCTGTGAGGGTGGGTGTGGCGTGTGAGGGTGGGTGTGGTCTGTGAGGGTGGGTGTGGTCTGTGAGGGTGGGTGTGGTCTGTGAGGGTGGGTGTGGTCTGTGAGGGTGGGTGTGGCGTGTGAGGGTGGGTGTGAGGGTGGGTGTGGAGTGTGAGGGTGGGTGTGGTCTGTGAGGGTGGGTGTGGCGTGTGAGGGTGGGTGTGAGGGTGGGTGTGGCGTGTGTGGGTGGGTGTGGCGTGTGAGGGTGGGTGTGGCGTGTGAGGGTGGGTGTGGTCTGTGAGGGTGGGTGTGGTCTGTGAGGGTTGGTGTGGTCTGTGAAGGTGGGTGTGGTCTGTGAGGGTGGGTGTGGTCTGTGAGGGTGGGTATGGTCTGTGAGGGTGGGTGTGGTCTGTGAGGGTGGGTGTGGTCTGTGAGGGTGGGTGTGGTCTGTGAGGGTAGGTGTGGTCTGTGAGGGTTGGTGTGGTCTGTGAAGGTGGGTGTGGTCTGTGAAGGTGGGTGTGGTCTGTGAGGGTGGGTGTGGTCTGTGAGGGTGGGTGTGGTCTGTGAGGGTGGGTATGGTCTGTGAGGGTGGGTGTGGTCTGTGAGGGTGGGTGTGGTCTGTGAGGGTGGGTGTGGTCTGTGAAGGTGGGTGTGGTCTGTGAAGGTGGGTGTGGTCTGTGAAGGTGGGTGTGGTCTGTGAAGGTGGGTGTGGTCTGTGAGGGTGGGTGTGGTCTGTGAGGGTGGGTGTGGTCTGTGAGGGTGGGTGTGGTCTGTGAGGGTGGGTGTGGTCTGTGAGGGTGGGTGTGGTCTGTGAGGGTGGGTGTGGTCTGTGAGGGTGGGTGTCTGTGTGGGTGTGAGGGTGGGTGTGGTCTGTGAGGGTGGGTGTGGTCTGTGTGAGGGTGAGGGTGGGTGTGGTCTGTGAGGGTGGGTGTGGTCTGTGAGGGTGGGTGTGGTCTGTGAGGGTGGGTGTGGTCTGTGAGGGTGGGTGTGGTCTGTGAGGGTGGGTGTGGTCTGTGAGGGTGGGTGTGGTCTGTGAGGGTGGGTGTGGTCTGTGAGGGTGGGTGTGGTCTGTGAGGGTGGGTGTGGTCTGTGAGGGTGGGTGTGGTCTGTGAGGGTGGGTGTGGTCTGTGAGGGTGGGTGGGTCTGTGAGGGTGGGTGTGGTCTGTGAGGGTGGGTGTGGTCTGTGAGGGTGGGTGTGGTCTGTGAGGGTGGGTGTGGTCTGTGAGGGTGGGTGTGGTCTGTGAGGGTGGGTATGGTCTGTGAGGGTGGGTGTGGTCTGTGAGGGTGGGTGTGGTCTGTGAGGGTGGGTGTGGTCTGTGAGGGTAGGTGTGGTCTGTGAGGGTTGGTGTGGTCTGTGAAGGTGGGTGGGTCTGTGAAGGTGGGTGTGGTCTGTGAGGGTGGGTGTGGTCTGTGAGGGTGGGTGTGGTCTGTGTGGGTGGGTGTGGTCTGTGAGGGTAGGTGTGGTCTGTGAGGGTGGGTGTGGTCTGTGAGGGTGGGTGTGGTCTGTGAGGGTGGGTGTGGTCTGTGAGGGTGGGTGTGGCGTGTGAGGGTGGGTGTGGTCTGTGAGGGTGGGTGTGGTCTGTGAGGGTGGGTGTGGTCTGTGAGGGTGGGTGTGGTCTGTGAGGGTGGGTGTGGCGTGTGAGGGTGGGTGTGGTCTGTGAGGGTGGGTGTGGTCTGTGAGGGTGGGTGTGGCGTGTGAGGGTGGGTGTGGTCTGTGAGGGTGGGTGTGGCGTGTGAGGGTGGGTGTGGTCTGTGAGGGTGGGTGTGGCGTGTGAGGGTGGGTGTGGTCTGTGAGGGTGGGTGTGGTCTGTGAGGGTGGGTGTGGTCTGTGAGGGTGGGTGTGGTCTGTGAGGGTGGGTGTGGCGTGTGAGGGTGGGTGTGGCCTGTCAGGGTGGGTGTGGCGTGTGAGATTGAATACAAAAATTACCCAGAGTTCAGAAAAGAAGTTTTAATTTAGAAGTGGCCTGCACCAGCTGGAGCTGGCCACGGCCACCTGCACCAGCTGGAGCTGGCCACGGCCACCTGCACCAGCTGGAGCTGGCCACGGCCACCTGCACCAGCTGGAGCTGGCCACGGCCACCTGCACCAGCTGGAGCTGGCCACGGCCACCTGCACCAGCTGGAGCTGGCCACAGCCACCTGCACCAGCTGTAGCTGGCCACGACCACCTGCACCAGCTGTAGCTGGCCACAGCCACCTGCACCAGCTGGAGCTGGCCACAACCACCTGCACCAGCTGGAGCTGGCCACAACCACCTGCACCAGCTGTAGCTGGCCACAGCCACCTGCACCAGCTGGAGCTGGCCACAGCCACCTGCACCAGCTGGAGCTGGCCACAGCCACCTGCACCAGCTGTAGCTGGCCACGGCCACCTGCACCAGCTGTAGCTGGCCACAGCCACCTGCACCAGCTGGAGCTGGCCACAGCCACCTGCACCAGCTGGAGCTGGCCACGACCACCTACACCAGCTGTAGCTGGCCACGGCCACCTGCACCAGCTGTAGCTGGCCACGGCCACCTGCACCAGCTGTAGCTGGCCACAGCCACCTGCACCAGCTGTAGCTGGCCACAGCCACCTGCACCAGCTGTAGCTGGCCACGGCCACCTGCACCAGCTGGAGCTGGCCACAGCCACCTGCACCAGCTGGAGCTGGCCACAGCCACCTGCACCAGCTGTAGCTGGCCACAGCCACCTGCACCAGCTGGAGCTGGCCACAGCCACCTGCACCAGCTGTAGCTGGCCACAGCCACCTGCACCAGCTGGAGCTGGCCACAGCCACCTGCACCAGCTGTAGCTGGCCACAGCCACCTGCACCAGCTGGAGCTGGCCACGGCCACCTGCACCAGCTGGAGCTGGCCACGGCCACCTGCATCAGCTGGAGCTGGCCACGGCCACCTTTCCCGGTAAGAGCCTCTCCACCACAGCTGGGCTAAGCTCTCCCGAGGCCCCATGCTCAGAATTTAAATGTGGCCTTAAAAGCTTCCAAACCCTATTTTATAAATAAAACTCAGTAATACAATATATATATATATATATATATATATATATATATATATATATATATATATATATATATATATGTATATATATATATATATATATATCCTAGACACACTATTACATCATCGACAAAAGTCAAAAGGTCAACAGCCATAGGGCCTAATTAAGCTTAGGAACCTCAGGGCCCTCTGAGCTTCAGAGTCCCGTTTGAAACTCAGGCTTCTCTGAATACAAGGGTCTCTGAACCTGTGAGTCTATCCGAATCTATTTATCTCTCTGAACCTATGGGTCTCTCTGAACCTATGGGTCTCTCTGAACCTAAGGGTCTCTCTGAACCTATGGGTCTCTCTGAACCTAAGGGTCTCTCTGAACCTATGGGTCTCTCTGAGCCTATGGGCCTCTCTGAACCTATGGGTCTCTCTGAACCTATGGGTCTCTCTGAACCTAAGGGTCTCTCTGAACCTATGGGTCTCTCTGAACCTATGGGCCTCTCTGAACCTATGGGCCTCTCTGAACCTATGGGTCTCTCTGAACCTATGGGTCTCTCTGAACCTATGGGTCTCTCTGAACCTATGGGCCTCTCTGAACCTATGGGCCTCTCTGAACCTATGGGTCTCTCTGAACCTATGGGCCTCTCTGAACCTATGGGTCTCTCTGAACCTATGGGCCTCTCTGAACCTATGGGTCTCTCTGAACCTATGGGTCTCTCTGAACCTATGGGTCTCTCTGAACCTATGGGTCTCTCTGAACCTATGGGCCTCTCTGAACCTATGGGTCTCTCTGAACCTATGGGTCTCTCTGAACCTATGGGTCTCTCTGAACCTAAGGGTCTCTCTGAACCTATGGGTCTCTCTGAACCTATGGGTCTCTCTGAACCTATGGGTCTCTCTGAACCTATGGGTCTCTCTGAACCTATGGGTCTCTCTGAACCTATGGGTCTCTCTGAACCTATGGGTCTCTCTGAACCTATGGGTCTCTCTGAACCTATGGGTCTCTCTGAACCTATGGGCCTCTCTGAACCTATGGGTCTCTCTGAACCTATGGGTCTCTCTGAACCTATGGGTCTCTCTGAACCTAAGGGTCTCTCTGAACCTATGGGTCTCTCTGAACCTATGGGTCTCTCTGAACCTATGGGTCTCTCTGAACCTATGGGTCTCTCTGAACCTATGGGTCTCTCTGAACCTATGGGTCTCTCTGAACCTATGGGTCTCTCTGAACCTATGGGCCTCTCTGAACCTATGGGTCTCTCTGAACCTATGGGTCTCTCTGAACCTATGGGTCTCTCTGAACCTAAGGGTCTCTCTGAACCTATGGGTCTCTCTGAACCTATGGGTCTCTCTGAACCTATGGGTCTCTCTGAACCTATGGGTCTCTCTGAACCTATGGGTCTCTCTGAACCTATGGGTCTCTCTGAACCTATGGGTCTCTCTGAACCTATGGGTCTCTCTGAACCTAAGGGTCTCTCTGAACCTAAGGGTCTCTCTGAACCTAAGGGTCTCTCTGAACCTATGGGTCTCTCTGAACCTATGGGTCTCTCTGAACCTATGGGTCTCTCTGAACCTATGGGTCTCTCTGAACCTAAGGGTCTCTCTGAACCTATGGGTCTCTCTGAACTATGGGTCTCTCTGAACCTATGGGTCTCTCTGAACCTATGGGTCTCTCTGAACCTATGGGTCTCTCTGAACCTATGGGTCTCTCTGAACCTATGGGCCTCTCTGAACCTATGGGTCTCTCTGAACCTATGGGTCTCTCTGAACCTATGGGTCTCTCTGAACCTAAGGGTCTCTCTGAACCTATGGGTCTCTCTGAACCTATGGGTCTCTCTGAACCTATGGGTCTCTCTGAACCTATGGGTCTCTCTGAACCTATGGGTCTCTCTGAACCTATGGGTCTCTCTGAACCTATGGGTCTCTCTGAACCTATGGGTCTCTCTGAACCTAAGGGTCTCTCTGAACCTAAGGGTCTCTCTGAACCTAAGGGTCTCTCTGAACCTATGGGTCTCTCTGAACCTATGGGTCTCTCTGAACCTATGGGTCTCTCTGAACCTATGGGTCTCTCTGAACCTAAGGGTCTCTCTGAACCTATGGGTCTCTCTGAACCTATGGGTCTCTCTGAACCTATGGGTCTCTCTGAACCTATGGGCCTCTCTGAACCTATGGGTCTCTCTGAACCTATGGGTCTCTCTGAACCTATGGGTCTCTCTGAACCTAAGGGTCTCTCTGAACCTATGGGTCTCTCTGAACCTATGGGCCTCTCTGAACCTATGGGTCTCTCTGAACCTATGGGTCTCTCTGAACCTATGGGTCTCTCTGAACCTATGGGCCTCTCTGAACCTATGGGACTTTCTGAGCTAGACAGAAATACTGTATTACGAATTTATTAATAAAGGTAACAGTCAATTTGTTACGTATTCCCACATAACTCCACAATTACACTCAAAATGCTCTCCAATTAAGAGCACACCTGGAGCTGCACATTTACAGCACAATTAGGAGCCCATCTGGAGCGAGGGATTACCCCTCGATTCTCCTGGTTTACTATAGGTATTATGCCCACAAATTTCCTTTGTAATGTTTGTTCCAGATCCTGAAAACGCTTTATCAGATTCTTCTGACCATCTTTATAGTTATTTTATTTGCTGTCAATTATTTTCTTTATATTCGCCCAACTTGCTCTAACTTCCCTTGTAAATGACCAAGGCACTTTTGTTAATTAAATATCTCTACAGGGTTGTTCTAAGATGAGTTCCAAAAAAGATGTTTATTCACCCATCTATCGTTTATAAACCCATGGAACTGGCTTCCCGCTGAAGTCGTGAATCACAAAAAATTGCTGCAATTTAATTTGTCTAAGTCGCTTATAACAGGGCAATCACAGATATAGTGTTGAAGAGTGATCTGTGTACATATGTTGTTTTTGTATATTCTACAGGTTGCTGCAGTGCGCCCTGTCAACATTTTAAAGAGACCCATCAGCGTAAGCATAGTGCTCGTGAGGCCGTAAGTTATTTATAAAGGAATCAATGGTTTCACATGTTGCTCTCAGGAGTGCTGTATTTCCCTTGCTCTTTTTGCTGATGGGCGTGTAAGACACTTGTATTTCATAGTACAGCTATAATGAGATATCATTGGCTAGTTCGTTGCATAAATAGGAATATTTAGTTGAATAAGATTGGCAACACTTCTACTCAACCAGCTTGCATATAGGTTGTCCGGTGGTGCGTTGGCAACACTCCCCCGCCCACAAACAGCACTAGTCAGCTTTTCTCCAAGTAGTAAAGGTGATGTTGGATCTCTCGTCACCCTTACACAGAAAACAACATTGCACAGACCATATACACTGACGGATCACTCAATACAGCTACAGGGAGGGCAGGAAGTACTGTTATTGCTCATCAGCCCGATGGCAGCACAATTCAAAGAAATATCCGAATTAGTAACTGGGCGTCCACAATGCAGGCCGAGTTGGTAGCGATACTGGTAGCACTCGAAATTATTGACAACACTGAAGTAGACAGCTTAATTATTTCTGACTCCCTATCCTCACTACGAGCAATAAACAGTTTGCAATCAAGTAATAACGTGCTTGTCTTGGAAGCTAGACGTAGATATGTAAGAATACTTAGCAAGAGGGTAAATATAAAAATGTTGTGGATTCCTTCTCACATTGGCATGCAGGAACATGACAAAGTTGACGCCCTTGCTAAGGCTGCAGTAAATAAAGACAGTATTGAATGGAATCTTGAGTTATCAAATAGGTCCCTTAAAAGTGTCATTAGACGAGAACTCCTAGATGGATTTCAAGAAAGTAGAACAGTGCAAACTGGAACTAGCAGGTCCATTGTTCATCACAATGAAATGTGTGAAGTAAAACATGTGTATGGAGCAAGTAACAAAGTCAGTAGACTAACAGATGTTGTCACAGCTCGTATAAGACTTGGCTACAAGTATCTCTGGCAGTTCGGCTTGTATAGGGATCTAGATGAAGTAAAGTGTAAAGTGTGTGGACATAGGCAGGGACACACACTCGAACACTATATCTTGGATTGTTGTAAAATTGAGCCTTTTAGAGATAAATCTAAGCTCACTCTGTATGATATGGCAACCTATCTTATTACCATGGATAAGTTACCTGAAATCCTTGCACTGTACCCACATTTTGCTTCCAGTAGATGAACGACATATGAGATTCAGAAACAAGTAGTGTATTGTGAGGACTAATAATAAACAGAAGCTCCCCTATGACTCTGTAATATCCCCATTGGCCAAACTATTATGTATTAACGATAAGACCTACCACTAATGTATGATGACTTACTGTAAATATGTAGCTCTTGTAATAGCACTTTCTCTGTAACTAGCTGACATTGTATCTATAAGGTGTGAAGGATTGAAGAAATTGTTTATGTAATAATCTAAGATGAGGTCTGATAAAGACCTTTTGTGCCCTCTGTAATGCTTTTGCGCTACCGCTCACAGGATGAGTATGGGGTGCACAATAAACTAGCCGCCTTCGGCGGCAACAATCAATCAAATCAAATCCTTACACAGAAGGTAATATTTACCTGTTCAATTCTTTCACATATGGTTGGGAGTTTCAGCTTCTGCCTCATGTTAATGATTTTTGTGCATCTGCAGCCCGTCCTCCAAACAAAGATCCAAAAGTGATTCCATGCACCCGCCAAACCCCCTGTTTATGAATGAAAAGCGGTTTACACACGACTCACAACTGCTGACGTTCGAACATATCCGGAACAAGTGTTTCACTGACGAATTTTGTTCGAATCACAACGCTATAAATGCTTCACCCACGTACTACAAATACAAATAATCGCCAACAGAACCTAAACACCTAACCTAACCTAACCTATGCCTATATATGCACAATATGCTAATATATTATAATATTAATTTATACTTGAGAAAATTCCCGTTTTGAATGAACAGCATATTAAAATTTATGAATGCGTCTGTGGGGTCGACCGCTGGATGTAATGGACTTGAGTCGAGGACGGGTTGGCATCTGGGGGCTCCACGAATCATCCTCATGGCTTCATTTTGAATTTTCTCTAAAGCTTTCAGCCTATTGCTAGGAAGACTAATAATGTGCAGGGCATGGTAGTTGACTAGTAACCTGATGAACATCATGTAGAACATTCTAGCATATTTTACATTAATACCAATATGTGTTTTCCAGCAAGCGTTTTAAAAGGACTTTGCCTTTCTTTGTCTCTTTCGTCTGTCTTTCTAGGTAGACTTGGCCTGTACAGTTCAAGCAGCGGACTATAACTACTGCTGTACTGCTGTCCTCTAGTCTTAGTTCTTGGCCCATTAGGTTTCATCCATTTGACATAATACTGTGTTACTTTATTAACAAGGTCCTCATATAGAGCATTGACATTAGTATATATAAGCTATAAGCTATAAGCATACTGTATTAATGTTATTACGGGGTTTTCACTTAAGCTAATGCAGTGTACTCAAAGTTATACATGTCTATGTTATGCAGTTGTAAAATATACAAGTTATAGCCGCTTCATTAATATGTTCTGCAGAAAATAAAAACTTGTTCTACTAATAAATAAATAGGCCCCCATGCTGTTGGTGTCTTTTTTTCCCCTGACCAGAAAAAGCTACATCGTGAGTCCTTGTGTTGTTCGACTTGTCTGATAAAATAGAAACATTTTCATAAGAATCCTCATGTCATCCAACGTTCTATAAACACGGGATTATAAATAAAACAAGAAAATAAAGTCACACCACAAGCACTGAGTGACTAGACAATTGTTACAATGCCGGCCGGGGTGCGCGTGTACCTCTTATAGCTTGTTGGCTTGTTTGCCAGCGACACTAAGGTCTTGATAGTCTGCATGTAAATGTCTCGTTTCATTACTTAGGTTATCTAATATACTTGTGACTACCGCATGCTTCCCGACGTCCTGATAGCGATCCCCAGTTGAGTAGGCGCTATAGATTAGCACACTAAGCCGACCATTCCAACACATTAACACTCCCGAGTCTGTAAAAACTTGCCCCGGAATGTCTGCTATGTCGTGAAATATGCAAGAGGGGAGGTACTACTGTGCTCAAAAATAAGAATTCCACTCAATATTAATATAAAAAATATATATATAATAATTACCTTTATTGTGAGAGTATAATGATATGCTTGGTGTGTATACGAGTCTCCTACGGCCGGCAGCGGGGTCGAGGAAGCCAGTCAGCCAACAGCTTCAGGTAGGAAGGGTATTATGGCCTCCTCTCACCACCATATATATATTTCTTGGTATATATTGTGAGAACTCTCATCTACACATGGTGGGAACTTGTTATTACCGTATGAATACTCGGTAGTGAGGAATTTAGTGTGCATGGCGTCCGGTCCAGCAGACGACGAGGCCAGAGCCGACATTGTGCGTGTTTATTGAGGTCAGCTGACTGTTGTTTTGATGCTCCAGCTGATGTTGTTGTCCCTTCATGCGACCTGTACCTACTCTCAAAAAGGAGAGAGATTGTTGTGTAGGGTCACTGCTATATTCTGGTATCACTGGTGCCTTCTGGGGTCACTGGTTCCTTCTAGGGGTCACAGCCATACTCTGAGGGTCACTGCTATATTCTGGGGTCAATGCTATATTCTGGGGGTCACTGCTATATTCTGGGGTCTGCTATATTCTGGGGGTCACTGCTATATTCTGGAGTCACTGCTATGTTCTGGGGGTCACTGCTATATTCTGGGGGTCACTGCTATGTTCTGGGGGTCACTGCTATATTCTGGGGGTCACTGCTATATTCTGGGGGTCACTGCTATACTCAGGGGTCACTGCTATACTCTGGGGTCACTGCTATATTCTGGGGTCAATGCTATATTCTGGGGGTCACTGCTATATTCTGGGGTCTGCTATATTCTGGGGGTCACTGCTATACTCAGGGGTCACTGCTATATTCTGGGGGTCACTGCTATGTTCTGGGGGTCACTGCTATATTCTGGGGGTCACTGCTATATTCTGGGGGTCACTGCTATACTCAGGGGTCACTGCTATACTCTGGGGTCACTGCTATACTCTGGGGGTCACTGCTATACTCTGGGGTCACTGCTATATTCTGGGGTCACTGCTATACTCTGGGGTCACTGCTATATTCTGGGGTCACTGCTATACTCTGGGGTCACTGCTATACTCAGGGGTCACTGCTATACTCAGGGGTCACTGCTATACTCTGGGGTCAGTGCCCCCCACTGGGGTCGGTGGGTGGCACTCTTGGATGTCTGTCTCTCCTCCCCCCATCCTCTTGAATCTGTCACTCCCCCGTCCTCTTGGATCTGTCTCCCCCCTCCTCTTCGATGTCTGTCTGTCTCCCCCCCCCCCTCCACTTTGATGTCTGTCTGTCCCCCCCCCCCCTCCACTTCGATGTCTGTCTGTCCCCCCCTCCACTTCGATGTCTGTCTGTCTCCCCCCCCCCTCCACTTCGATGTCTGTCTGTCTCCCCCCCCCCCTTCTCTTCGATGTCTGTCTGTCCCTCCCCCCCCCCCCTCCTCTATGATGTCTGTCTCCCCCCCCCCCCCCTCGTGGATGTCTGCCTCCCTCCCCCCCCCTCCTTCCTCTTCGATGTCTGTCTCCCCCCCCCCCCCCTCTTGGATGTCTGCCTCTCTTCCCCCTGGGATTAGTGGCATGCTGCAGAATCACTCCATGCCACCTGCTGGGGTCAGTTACTCGTGCAGTGATATGTTTATTTTGCAGTATTTTTTGTTTCGTATTTGCACTTGGGAATGTATGTGTGTAACTTTAACCAAGGCTCCTGACACACAGCGATCACTCTGATTACAATTTAAACACAATAGTTGTATGCAGTAGATACTGTAATTGTAAAGCTCTTGGCTGCATGTGCATATGTAGTAGCCTTATAAAATACTGTATTAAAGTACTGTACTGTACCTTCTGAGTAACTGCTGTAAGCTTAGCCTCTGTAATTTTTATTAAATGTTATTTATTGTATAGAACAACAAAATAAAAAATTCTAAACAAATTACAGAAAACTATGGATTGTGGGAAAATTATTTAAATTCCTATTTATTAATTTAGGCATTTTAAATTTTAAAATCTTTGTGAAGATATAAAAAAAACATGTAGGTTAAAGTAAAAATAACAAAAAATCTAATTGCAATACTGTACTGTACTTTTGATCTAGGGGCATACATAGATACTTGTATCGGCGAGTCATGCTACCCTGCTTGATCCCAAGTGGCCTGTACCCAACAAATCAATTCCATCACCAATAATGTGTTTAGTGCTACTCATTAGATCCTATACCATTTCCACAAGTCCATTGAAGGATACCCAACTGTCATCACAAATATTGATAATTAATTACTAATGACACCAGATAAACATTAATTTCATGTCTTTTTAAGGCTTAACGGCACCGGAGCTAGACAGATTAGACGTACTCTATATTGATAGCTTCCCAAGTTTATAAAGTCAAGGCCACCCTGTCTCTATAGACTTCTGATGGTCTCTAGTGCAAGCAAATTTCTGCATACTTCATCCAGTTGCCCACTTGTCTAAACACTTACTAAAGTGCAGTCCGTACACACAAAGGGAATCACAAAAGCCCTCGAGTGTGCTTTGCATCGGAAGCATTAATATTTGAACTTTTGTACAAGGCCTCCTAAGTATGCACTGTTTAAGTACTGTACATCTTAAAACCAATATTTTGTACATGCTCTTGAAATAAGGTTGGAGAATAATTGTGGTATCATTACCTTGTGTGATGTTTGCAGAGAAATTAAGAGTTTGTCCAATGGAGTATAAGCTACCATTTATAATTAATAGGTATATAATGTAATTACAATTATATTAATAATGAAAGTTTTACATAATAAATTGTAGGACATTGCATAATATTGGAAGATTTAAACAAAATATTAGAACTAGGTATTTAACATATCAGTATCTTAATTCTCAGGAAGTGGCATATACAGTACAGTATTGTAGTCTTATTAGTTTGGCAATTTCTCCTAATAATTGTACATATAAAAAATAGTGCTAAATTCTGTACAGGTGACCTACTTTCTTTAGGTTTAAGTATTGGTGATAAGCATTGTACAGTGTAGTCATAAAAGGATTTATTAATGCAGTTGTGTAATTTTTTTCAGTTACTAGGGTTTTTCATAAATTTCAGGTACAGCTGCAAGATATTCTTTGGTTACCATAATGGGAGACCAACCAAAATTTAAGTGAGTATCTATCTTGCTTTGTACAAATTAGAAACATCTTTTAAAAATGAACTCGCATAGTTAAGGCTGATGCACTTTATTTTATTCATATGATAAATTACTTATCCATATGATAAATAAAGCTAACCAAATTCTAGGAATAATCAAGCGTACCTTTACCTTTAAATAAGAAGGTAGTCATTCAATTGTATAAGTCTAAATGTGCCCTACCTGGATTATTACATCTAGGCATGGAGACCTCATCTTCAGAAGGACATAGCTGCTCTGGAGAAGGTGCAACACTAGGCAGTAAAAATCATCCCAGAGCTTGGTCATCTCTCGTATCGGGAACAGTTGAGGGCCACAGGGCTAACAACACTGCAAACCAGGCATGACAGGGCAGCTCTTCTTTAAATTTTTAACATGCTGAACAATTTGGAGGATGTTGATCCGGACAATTTCTTCAAAAGATCAGATGTACAGTAACACGAACGAGGAGCAACAGTTTCAAGCTCAACAAACTACAATGTAGGACTGAGAACAGGAGACGCTTTTTCACCCATAGGGCTATAAACCCATGGAACTGCCTACCCGCCAAAGCCATAAATGCCAAACCTCTGTTGGGGTTTTAAGTTCAAGTGGTAAAGATCATCAGGGCAAAGGGGGACCTTTGACAAGCTGCCAGCTTCCTGTCTTCATCAAGGCCACTAGTGTTAGTGGCCCTCGGGTAAATTCTGGTATAGAACTTGAATTATATACAGTTTAATAATGTGAAAAAATAGCTTTAACTGACTTTAGATGGGATGTTGGTATTGATTTATTTAGTTCAAAAGATGTAATATATAATTTTTTTTTTTTAGGAGGAAGTACATTTTGTTTAATCCTTTTCCATATTGTATAAAATTCTTGGGAAACAAAATACAGCACAGTACTGAGAGTTAATTGGTAAAGATTTCCTACATATATTTATGTGTAAAGTATAAGGTGATCTGGCACAAGAATTTTTACTACTGAACTAAAGGATGCCTGGCATGTGGTGCTGTGTAAGAATACTTGGGATCAGTGTACTTGGCCATTTTCCAAAGGTGCAGGTACATCATTACTGTTTAATCTTTGAGACTAATTAATACTATATTTCAATGCAGATATATTTCTTCAAAGTGCTGTTCAGTTACTATTGCATATCTATCTGTTCATTGCTGAAGGTTTGCATGTCAAGATGGGTTGTGGTTACAGAAAACTATACAGTACATCAATTGAAGACCTTGGTATTGAAGTCGACCTAATGCACTTAGTTACATTTGTGAAGAATACAAATATCCTTACACAAACTATAAAGGCTTCCCATTTTGCAGCATAGGCCTGAAATATGCAACTCGTGAAGGTCAAAATAAAAGTGTACTTCAGTGCAAAGGTTTGTAACATGTTCGTGCTATGCTAGCACTAAGATGGCAATTATGAGTATGGGTTAAGGGAATTGGATCTTGTAACACTAAAAGAAAAAAGTGGGAGGATATGATCACTACATGCAAGATACATACTGTGGGGAATAGAAAAGATAGACGAGGACAACCTCTTTAAATTTTGAAAAATATAAGAGTATACGTGGAAGCTAGATATTCAAAAGATACGATGAAATATATGAAAATTCTTGTCAAACAGTCGAGTGTACTAAAAGAAGTCATGAAAGTCGCCTCCATTCACAACTTGAGGTAAAATTCATTAAAAAATATATTGATACAAATGTTGTAATATTGTGCAACAGGTATAACAAGGCTAGTAGGTGAGACATGAAGAGCTAGACCTCCCCATAGTCATTAAGTAAATGCCTCGCAGTTCCAATGAGTGAGGAATTAGGCCCAAGGTCTAATTCCAACTTGGGTATAATATTTTGTTGTTTATCAACAATGAAATGGCAACATTCAAATGCACACGGTATAGTACAGACAGGAATACATTAGGTACATTGACTGGGATGTACATTGAGACACTGTGCTCAATGGGAAGGTGCATAAATATAAGATATAGTTCACACAGTGCATGGTTTAGCATGCACTGTAAAAAAGAAAACTCAAGAATAAGAACACAGTACATGAAGATCACTTTAGTAGTAAATCCCCCAAAACCATAGCTGCCAATGGAAGACCTTTGTCAGATACTGAACATTCTGGGTGACAGATTGAATCAGAAGGGAAGAACCATGAAGTTTTCATTGGAATATTCCACTTGGAAACCCCATTTATTCTCTATACCTCAAATGAATAGGGCTATGCCAGTAGGCATTCCGAAGGTCAAAAAAGTGTAGAATAGTGGAGTAGGTGGTTTGAGAAGGATGCAAGGATATCCAACAGGCAATGGGGTACCAGTCCCATGCGGGGACCTTGACACCAGCCAAGAAGCTTGGATACCCCTGATGGTATTAAAAAACTCCAAAACATGTGCCTTCTAAACTACATACACAAAGCCTATTCTTCAGGAAAACAGAAAACTTGATGAAAGTAGGTTTTACTTATTGGTTGGGTCTAGTATACATTCTAGTATACAGGAGGGAGTTGAAGACTGGAGGTACAGCATCATGTTTGATAAGGTTCAGTAATGATTATGATTATTATAGGTACTTAACATTTGATTGCAAAGGTCATTTAGGTTTTGGAGAAAGGTTTATGTCGAAGATAACATTAACTTATATTACTTTAAAACAAAAGGAAATTGATGTTGCTTTATTCAAGTGTCAATGCAAGGGAAGATCATAACATAATGCTGACTAATATGACTGGCTCACAAATGATTAGTGGCTTCATAAATATCTAAATAGGTACCTACTATGCTGTAGGTACCTGGGTAATGAGCCAACAAGTTATTTATTAATTTTCGTTAATATATTTTCAGGTTGTTACCAAAGATCTTAAATGGAGGAATTGCTGGTATAGTGGGAGTGACCTGTGTATTTCCGCTTGATTTGGTAAAGACACGGCTTCAGAATCAACAAATTGGTCCAAATGGCGAACGCATGTATAATTCAATGTAAGTTTTTTGTAGATGGGTTCCCTGAATATAAGTTCCCATAAATAAGTTTTCATTATGTAACAATCATATTATTTTCTTTTGCAAATCTTGAATGGTTGTTGGCAATGTAATGACATGTGGTGACAGCCGAGACAAGGCCTGGAGCACGGGGGACAGAGAGCTTGAGTGAGGCCAGGGGTAGAGAACTTGGATGTGGGGGTGAGCATAGAGCGCAGAGTTCAAATGCGGGACAAGAGCTGGAAGCTCTGTAGCAAGGCTGAAGCGTCTTGTGAGAGTGGGAACAGGATTCGTTGTTACATTGTTGCTAGTGAATGTTGATGGTGTTGAAGGTCTGTGGGATCTCTCGAGCATTTGTACTGAATCATCATTCAAGATTCTGTTTTTAAGGCTTATATTACAAGTTCCTCCCTTTGCCAAATTGACTAACATCTTTGTAGGCTACCTGTTGGCTGGCCTAATTGATGCTTGTTCACTTGGGAAAGAGATAATAATTTTAAATAGTGCATACAGGATTAGTGTAGAAATTCTGGGAAGTAGAATATTCAGATAATTCAACCCGTTCTCGCAAATTTAATAAGTCAATATTGACTTATTAAATATGTGCATAGGTGACATACTTAACATAATAGTTTCCCTTGAAAAGCTTCATAGAAAACACCGACCTTACCTAACCTACTTAGTATGTTAAGATAAGCATCTTATTGCTTCGTAATTACAATTATTACCTAACCTATACCTATAATAGGTTAAGTAACAATGTAATTACGAAGCTATAAGATGCTTATTTTAACATACTAAGTAGGTTAGGTAGGGTCGGTGTTTTCTATGAAGCTTTTCAAGGGAAACTATTATGTTTAGTATGTCACCTATGCACGCAACTAATAAGTCAATATTGACTTATTAAATTTGCGAGAACGGGTTGGATAATTAGTGGAACCGGGATTAATGTAGAACTGCATGGAAAATGTAGTTCTCAAGGGTAAGTTAGATGGAATTAACCACTGTGATGCGCCGATTTTATTGTGAAATTCTCCCTGTGCGCATGAAATAATGTTCCCCAAAAATTCTTTTTTCTTCCTAAAATAATAAATTACCTTCCCTGAACATGTCTATGTAAAAATAAATACCAAATTCCACTTACTTTGGCTGTGGGGATTTGGACAAGGTGCGCTGTGACGTCATCAGGGGGCTGGTCGCCTGGGCCATTCAAGCACCGAGTTGCCACAAATATGTTTTCAATTGTATGTTTTACGTATTTCCAATGGGATTTTGTTTGTTTCTTTATCGTATATGATGCATATTTGTGTCCTTTACAATATGTATACAGTAGAAGGTTCATAATGTTCCATGGAACTGTGATACATGTTAGTAATGTGTCCAAAATAAATGTTTATTGTTGCAATATTGTTAAAAATTCACTAAAATTACAATATGTACAGTTTCACACACTACAGTATATACACAGTAACACACTGTATTTCACACTCTGTACTTCAGAAGTGAGTAATAATCAATGAAGTAGTTTGTGGTACACAGTGCGACTTTTCTCTCGTTGCACCAGGTACAGATAGATTTCGATTCCTGTTTCTTCGTTCTGTGTGCTTGCAAATAACGCACTCGCATACACCCTTGGCATAAGTACCTGTAGGTGGTATGTAGCCAAGCTTGTAAAACGAAAGGTGGTCGTGAAAAGATCTCTTTGTATGGTCCCACATAGGAAAAGATTCAGCCAGCCTCAAAGATTGTCTGTCAGTCAAGAAGAGATTCAGCTATTCTTGAAATTATCTATGGAAAACACCATCATGGAAGCCACTAACACTGTTCATCTATGTTACTTGTATCAGATGCATCATCACTGAATGCAGAAAACTATTCATCTATGTATCATCTAAATAAATTGGAGATACCATAGGTGAGCTAGGGTGGCGCTCGGAGCTACAATTGGATACGCTAGCTGGATCGTCCTCATAGGTGCTGTATAACTTGCATCCAACCTTTGTGTTAGGTCCTTATTGCGCTTAGCTTCACCAATATTATGACCCTATGTTCTTCAAACAATAAGGTTTGAATTTCACTAACAGAGTGTGATCTTTCAACACCGCGTCGGACAGATGTTAGGGAGCCAGAGGCACGTATGCATCCCCCATGGTTGCTCACGCAGTACTAACCCTGCCAGCAGCCCTAGGGCATTCTGGGATTTTTTTCCAAGATGGCTGCCTCTCACTGGAGGTTCTAAGAGTCCATTTTGTACATAACCAACCTCGCACACATTTAGAATGCGTACAAAAAAAATAGTTTTCTCGGTTGGCGCAGTTTCCCACCGACCGAGAATACTCGGTTGGTGCAGATCAGTGGTTAAGTGGTTACTTGAGTACAGTAATTGTATATTGTATAGTCACTAATTACACACAACGTAGTTAGCGGAGTTTGTCGCAGACTCTTAAATCCAATGCCAAGTTCAAGTTTTGAATAGGTGATCTATAAGCAAAATAAATCAACATTTAGATAGTTTTGTTATATGAAGCTTGGAATTTGGAGGTTCCACTGTACACATATGGCTGGATTTTTGCTAATCATTCTTCTTTCAGATTTTTTTTAATATCTCAAATGCCTTATTGCATTGAAATTGAGCAATGTAGTTCCAAAACAACTTTTTTTTTTTGTTTTAAGAATACAACATTCATACAATTGTCTATTGATGTATCTGTTATAGGTACAAAACATTCCTAGTTATTCATTATATTCCATGGATTGTTAATTCATTGGTCTGTTTAAAAATCACAGGTTTGATTGCTTCAAAAAAACTTACCGTGTAGAAGGATACTTTGGTATGTACCGAGGCTCTGGTGTCAACATTCTGCTAATCACCCCAGAAAAGGCTATTAAGCTTACAGCAAATGACTACTTCCGTCACCATTTAACTACAAAAGATGGGTATGTATTAACTTATACTAGCCAATTATGGTATTTTTTATCTTAAAAGGTAGGGTGGATAGACCTACCATAATTCACTCGCAATCTTAAATTAAAAAATGCTTTATTCTGTTCTACTTTTATCTATATTGGATGCCTAATTCTCCGGGGAAACTTTTTTTTAATAGTGTAATTTTTGTATTTATTCTTCTTTTTAAGCTTTTTAATTTCCATTCACTTTCATCAGACATTTACTTGTGTATATGTCAACTCTTTTTCTTGCAGTATTCTGCATACATTCCTGTCGCTAAAGTATTTTGTTTTATGTAATTCAATGATACTCATCACAGTCCTATAGCCCATCTTCTCATTGTACAAACCATCCCAATATATTTCTTTTAAACTCGCATAATACCGAGTACATCATATCGTTGGAATTTTTTTCCCCTCGTTGCCTGCATACAGTACTGGACAAGTTTTTCTCAACTGCATTTACCTTCTTTGGTACCACTAACATATACATTACCTACACAAGTGTACTTAATTTAAATTCTTTATATGGTATAATATACAACTGTTGGAGACATGAAGTATGTTAGGCTTATTGAAGTCTGTAGCTATAGGGGGAAACTTTATGGAGGCTTTATGAAATGGAGCCAGTTTAGGTGATACTTGGTATAGCCTTGTGGAAGACCTGTTTGGTCATGCAGTCATCAAAGTACTGTATTTGTCAGAAATATTTTACTTAAAATTATTTGCCAGATCCATCGGATTATTAATTTTTGTCAATTCTAACTTAAAGTAATGAAATTGTTAAATATTACATTAGTAATAAAGACCAATACAAATTATTCCAGTTTTATATGGCTCATCTATCAGAAATTAATAACTTACCACTATTCCAACGTTATCCAATTCAACTGAATTAACTAACCTCATTAAAGATGATTTATCTAATAGTGGATGATGTATGCATCTTTTGGTCAGTCAAGTTAAGCACCGTTGAGTGTGGTCAGACTTGGGTGAGTGAGAGCGTGGACAATCTCACCCTTGACTAGGGGACTGTGAGTAGATAATGGGCTTCCTGTGTCAGGATCAGGAAGTATACCACTGTCAGGTGGTATATCATCTGATAGTGGTATACCATATCAAACCTTCTGTATGCTCTAATAAGCACAGCATAAAATAACAACATACTGGAGTGAACTATATGGAAAAAATGCAGAATAGAACCAGTGAAGAGCACGAGTGCCATAGGCACAATCAAGAGAACACTGTATAAACATCAGAGGTCCATGGTTGTTCAACATCCTTCCAGCAAGTATAAGAAATATTGCTAGAACAACCGAGGACATCTTCAAGAGAAAACTAGATAGTTTTCTTCAAGAAGTGCTCAACCGACCAGACTATGTTGAATATGTGGGCATGCAAGCTGCTCCAAGCAACAGCCTGGTGGACCAAGTTCTTGCAATGTAAGCCTGGCCTCAGGCTGCGCTTGGGGAGTAGAACAACTCCCAGAACCTCCATCAAGCAGGTATCAAGCAGGCTGTTCATGCAGTCACCCATCCAGTTACTCCCCAGACCCAACAGCATTTAAGCTTCTGAACTGTTGATGGGCAGTGGTTAGCACAGTTGGCTGGCAACCATTTGGAGCTATGTCCGATTCGCGGGCAGGGCACGAGACCTTTGGCACATTTCCTTACTGGGAAGGAGTACCCGGTAGTGTCTGGGATAGTGTTACTTTCCCCTACCACCATTTCCCCATCTTCTTTTCCCCCCCTTCCCTTACCCCCCTTTACCTATCTTCCCTCCTTTTACAAATTTTATCTATCTTCCCTCCCCCTTTACTTGTCTTCCCTCTGCCCTTTTCTGATTTTACCCATCATCCCTTCCCCCTTTACCCATCTCCCCATTCTCCTTCCTCTTACCCTCATCTCCTTATTTTCCTTTTTTTCCTCCCTTTTCTACCTTCCCTGTCTGGTCACCAACCTTATACAGAGACTATTCCATTTACATGTACAGTATACATGTCTGTGTACAGAGGGGAACCTGGCAGTACCCAGGTTTGTCTCTTTCCCCTCTTCCCACTTTGCTCTCCCTTCATCCTTCGGTCCTCCTCTCCCCATCCCATTTTCCCCTCTTCATTTTGCCCCACCTCTTCCCTCATCCACCCCCCGTCCCCCCCACCCTCTCCCCTCATATTATATCTTCACTGCATACTATCATCAGTGTTTACACTATCTTCATCACCATACCCATCTTCATTATTCGCTATTGTCATCACTTGTAACCTGAATAAATTCAGTTCATTATTTTCAAGTAAATCATGTAAATGAGTGGTAAACTCTACAGGAAAACAAGTTAGTAATTTCATTTGAATTAATGAAAATTGTATGGGGGGAGAAAGTTTGAGTTAGTTTGATATTCTCTCTCCCATCTTTACTCTTGATATTGCTTTCAAGAATATTTCTTCCATCACCCAAAGAGCTCATGGTAATTAGATCAGTGGCTTCCTCAAGCACCTTTCATTTATTAACAATATCTGTCATTTCAATACTTTTTTCAAGTCGTCTTTCTTTTCCCATCAATTTTATGTATAAATTTCTAACCAAAATCTACATTTTCCTGAATTATCTCGCCTGACTTCTCCCCCAGAGAGGATCCTACCGACTCATTGTTAGGGGTCTAATGCAGTCAGAGCAGATACATATTGAACTGATGCAACAGCTGACATTTTAAACTATACTTGATGCAACCTAAAAGTGCATTTTCAGAAAATTTGAACCCTTTCCAGGCACTACTTTACATCATGGAAACCACAAAGTTAACTACTGAATGGCCCACTATATAATACCCTGACTTGCACTATGAGGCATCTCCAACATCACTGCACAGCCCCAAAACAGTACCGAAGATTTGGGTGAATTAGGTACAAAATTTACTATGAAGTAAATTTTAAATTTTGGGGGGAGTCTGGAACGGATTAATTCTATTTACATTAGTTCTTATGGGGAAATTTGCTTCAGTTTACAAATTTTTGGCTTACAAGCTGTCTCTGGGAACGAATTAAATTTGTAAGCCGCGATACCACTGTATATGGAAAATCTCCACACTGACCAGTATACATAACCGAGTCACTTAACATACAATTTGCACGTCATACATCTAATTGTGTTCCCTGTATATATCATGCACACTCAACAGCAATGCCCTCCCAATTTACTGTTATTGATGACATGACAGGTGCATCTCTCCAACTGGCTTCCCTCACCTAGCAGGTGCTTGGGACAACCACAGCTGGTATCTGATTTTACATCAGCACTAAGACATTTGCACCATACATAATTGAGTACTCGCATCTTACCGGTCTCCTTATTCACACCCATCCTCACATTTATCCAGATGACTGAAGAACCGAAGATCACCCGGGCTTCCTCCACGTGGTGGATGACCCTGTGCTGGGAACACGGGGTGCTGAATGACATGACTCTCCAGGGTGGCGTTCACTCGCTATGGGGTGCTGATTCAGGCTCACGGCCCACCCACACACGAGCTGGTGTCGCTCGTATCAGGTGTGGTGGATGGCGGATGATGATACGGTGAGGTGGAATTTCAATGTCCAACACGGACCTGTAATCTCAATAAATTGCACTTAAGGGTTCTACCAAAACACTGGGAAACCTTTTCCAATTCCACCTTCTGCCTGTTATCTTGGTCATAACAACAGATGACCACAGATGTTAGCAATAACATTGGATCACCACGAGGCTGCCTGCTGCCTTGGTTGAGTACGTGTTGACTCACCGAGTCCTGCCTCAATTCCTTAATATCATTCCCACGATCGTGCAATTAGGATCCAGGCACGATCCTCAATAGTGGGACACTGTAAGGAGAAGGAAATTGATGGATAAGTGTTATGGTGGTGGTGGCGGACAGGCCACTACCACCGGGGACACCTCTGCCCAGACAACACCAATTCTAGACTGAATTTTGGCGGGCTTAACTAATGTGGGCACGCTGCCCTCCCTCAGTGTTTGTCTTGATTAATGAGAGAGAAGCTGGCTGGCCTAGCCATGCTGAACCCAATGAGAGCCCTTTCCCTCGCTCTCACCCGGTGACGTAAGTGAGGGAGGCTTGGGGATGACATCACACCCAGGGTGGATGGCGACAAGCACCCCCCCCCCCCTCGCCAAAACTGTTGACTTCTCTCGCCCAAGTCACTGGGTGAGTTAGTCACACTGTCACACTGCTCTGCACACATTTTCCAAGTAAAATGTGTTAAAGTTGTAACTTTCTACACAGCTGTGCTAGGATCTTCATCGTAGTCTGAATGGAGAGCTGAGAGCCTCGGCTTCCTATAGACTCCTAACACGGGACATATCGGGGAGAATTGTGGAAATCTAGGACCCGTGCACCTAGGTGCACCCTAGGACACATCTAGAACCATTTAGAAGCTAGCTGGTAATTCCATTCCCTCACACTTGGTCATTTGTATGCAAGTTAAGCTAGCTTCTGATGAGGCTTGGATTAGGAACAGAGTGGATAGCTCATAAACTAAACTTTATGTAATGGGTATGAAAAGCACTTTCTTGAGCAGTACTTATGATTTCTTTCATATTCCCTCCTGTCTCCCACCTATGCTTGTTTTGTTTTTCCTAGGCATCTAGTAATTTGTGAAAAGGTTGGGTTGCTGGGCTTGGCTGTTGTGGTAGTTGGTATTAGTGACAGTGAGCCATTCAGTAGTTAGGAAGGGCACTGCTTGGCAGTCCCTGTGATGCCAAGTAACATCTGTAAGACTTTGTGGAATGCATTTTCTGGAATTATTTTGGGCTGGATTAAATATTCTTCACTAATACAACTCTGTGGAAACCGTTGGAAAACTTACATGCTCCAAAATGTAGACTTTCCCTGACTGTGATTGGCCCTAATTAGGGTTTGGTAGGATTTTTCCCCAGGTGAGCAACCAAGCCTACAACTCTGAGAATTTTTTTTTTTTTTTAATTTACAGTACCATATTCAAAATGCCTAATTTCTTTGGCAGAAAAATGAAAGTTTAGTTTGCCATATGTAAAAATAATAATGCAGAGGTATGTAATTGAAAATCCCAATCCCTAGTTCAGAAAATTATACTTTTATCAAATGTGGTAATTTTTGAAAGGCTTGAAGAGGACTTTACCCATATGTTATATGTAACTCCGTAATAATAGTGCAGATATAGCCATTCATTCATTATTATTATCTGTTGCTTAAAATGGCTTATAATAAGTCATATTCATTTTATTGTGATGTGTTTCCAGTGTCCTGTAGAATTATGTATACTGTAGTATTTGAACATTTAACCAGTGGAAAAGAACTAGAAAGACAGTTGGCCATGTTCTAGGTTGCAAGTGTTTTTCAGTGTAGGCAAGTGGTGACTGCTTCACTTTCATGATAGCTAGACCAGCATGTGGAATTCTTTGACAAATGTTTCAGGTGCGCCTGCAAGAGTCTTTAACACTTGAAGGCATTTGAAATGTCTTGGGGGAGATTCTTCATGGGGCCATCCCCTCAAGGATAGGGAGTTCCCAGAGGGAACAAGGCATCGAAGATGATTACTGGTAATGCTCTTGCGCTGCATCAGGTAACCCTGCTGACACCTACACCCATGACCCCTCTTTCCATAGTTCATAAATAAATTTAATCCCCCTATCCCTTAAACAAACATTTAAAATGTAAACCATAACACAAACATTTAGTATTCAGCAACAGATTAAATTATCCTTTTGGTGAGAATATCCCTGATTTTGTCCTCCGCTTCTATTCCCAGGTCCTTGGCAAAACACACCTCCAGAAAGCTTGGTTATTTAACACTTTCGCGCTATCTGGACGCGCCGGCGCGTTCGGTTTCGTCTAACGTAAACACATAGTGGACATAAAGTTATGTCTACTTTTAAAATATTTGTATAAAATTCAATTTTTATCCGATTTACTTTGGGTTTGTTTCAAACTGCGCGCTATGAGGCTCTCTTTCTCACCACTAGGCTGCATGGTACAATAAGTTCATGAAAGGTGTGGATAACTTCGATCAAATGGTATTTTGTCCCGAACGGGTTGCAGGTGGGTGACTTTAGCCGTTTATACTGGTAATTCTTCCCCCATATCATGTATTATATGCATATGTCTGTTTAGGGAATTTTATTCCGATCAATATACAACCAAAAATAACTGTGTGCAACAAGTATAATCTTGACAAACATAACAAAAGTAAAAATATTTCGTGTGTGTTTGACGCTCACTGATATGTTCCAGCGTTGTTTTATATTTGTCGCTATTCTAACTTACGCTTTGTTGATATTTGTTACCTATGGGCACATAGAACATTCTATTGCGAACACATTGACATAAAAATGAATGACGTACATAGAAAATTAATGTCATGAGAGTTAAATAAGTATAAACTTTCAAAGCGCCGTGCGTCGTCCCGTCACCGATACCGGGTAACAATTTCACCACTTCCCACACTCTTGCGGGCGGGCTGCATCATTATTCTACGCTTATATTCATATCACCGTGTTGGGAATTTCATTGCGAGTCCATTGATACCAAAATTAAAGCTGTAGAACAAGTGTGGAGGTGATTACAATCCCAGGAGTAAAAACATTTTGTTGCTGATGGGCGCTCACGGCGAGTCATCTACGTAGTTATTTATTTGGTGCTGGTATCCCTATATGTTTCATGACTTATTTTACTAATGTTCTTCTAGAGAATTTTATTGCGAACACGTTGGTACCAAAATGAAATACGTAGCATGAAAACTAAGGTCAGAAGAGTAAAAAGAGTATACACATTTTTGTTTTTACGCTTAAGCGATAAAAACGCAGTGCGCACATTCGGTTGGCTGAGTGACCTTTGCGGAGAGCGCGAAAGTGTTAATACAGTACTCTTAAATGTGGGGTTTGTGTCATAGGGTTGCACCGTCAAACTTGCATCTGCACAAAAGAAAGCATAGCACTTTCATCTCAAGTCTGTCCAAGATTAATAATTTTGAATCACTAATGATAGAATAATAAAAGATGTATTAATCCTTTTACTGATGCCTAAGCACATTAATATATTTTAGACTAGTTTACATCGCTTAACTTTTCTATAACCATTTTTTCCTGTAATTTACAGTAAGCTTCCTATTCACCGAGAGATGACAGCTGGTGGACTGGCAGGTTTGTGCCAAATTGTGGTAACTACACCAATGGAACTTTTGAAGATTCAACTTCAAGATGCTGGTCGAGTTGCAGCTCAAGCAATGGCCAGTAAGTTCATGTATACTGTAAATAATTAAACTACAGTACAGATTTCTTTATGCCAGAAATTCAGTCACTATCTTTGAATCTGGATGGTATATGTACAGTAGTCCCTTTTAGTGCTGCAAATTTAAGTAATATGAATTTTGCTTGGCATGATCATGAAACTAGATGGATAGCTGCCACTCAACATCCTGGGATAGGACAGGCAACTAAAAGGCCTGGTTCAGGAAGTAAGAGACTTCCCGGGAAAATGAATATTGCTGTTTTCTCTGCCCCTTTTGTCATGCTTACATAGCATGATATACAGAGCAGCGATCTCTCGCACAACACATCCTTGAAAATGGCTAATTTGGTTGTATGTGCCAATCCGCTTTACTCCTAAAGTTCTAGTTAGGTGCCATAAATTCACAAATAAGTGTCTGTGTAATGAATGCTATCAGGCATGATTTGTCATTATTTTGTGTGGCGATCTATGGCATGCTGAGGAGCTGCTGGCATTTACCAGGATTCACATTCCCCTCCCACCCCACACCTCCCGTTGTTGTTGTTGTGCATTTAAACACAACTTGTGTTCTTGTTACTTGAAACATACACCTTGTTTTACTCACTTTGGATTTACCATACATATGTTTGTACCATGGTTCTCCCATGCATCCTCTGTTTTCAAGCAAGAAAAGGAGATCCCCCTTTTAACACTTAAACCACGCAATATATACATATACAATGGGAGTAACCGTCCTGAAACTTCGCAAGACATACGATTAAGGGGTCTAGCGTACGATTTTAAATGCCCTGTGAGGGATAGGGGTCACAGCCGATAGTAAACGGATGCCACAGGTCCATCTAATTGCCCAAAGCTACTCAAAGCTTCCTTACATTACATTAGTAATGAACAAATGTTATATTTATTCATTATAATGTTGGTGCTGTATGTAGAACATGGAAAAACATTTTTACTCTGAAAATGTATCATTTCATAACGAAATTAGACAAAAATAAGTTGCTGGTGACACCAAAGCAAGTCGACGGTCCAAGCAACAATGTTGTGGAGCGACTTGCCCAAGACACGTTGTCCTTGGAGAGTGTTTGCTGGCATATCAGCCTTCTGTACCTACCTAACTGAACCAACCTAACAAAACCTAACCACACAAAACCTAGGTACCCAGGAGTTAGGTAACAGTTGTGTGTTGCATCTTGGGGAAGATCACCAGTAGTGGGTGTAGGGGTACCTTGTGAAGCCTAACAGGCTTCCAGTCCTCAACTAGGGGATACCATAAGGAAAACCAATTGGAAGGTATAAAATCCTGCCATTTAGAATCGGTGATGTATTACATATACTGTACTCCTGTACTGTACCTATATATTTGGGCGCCTGATAGCTGAGTGGACAGCGCTTCGGATTCGTAGTCCTGAGGTTCCGAATTCGATCCCCAGTGGAGACGGAGACAAATGGGCAAAAAATTTATTTCACCCTGATGCCCCTGTTACCTAGCAGTAAATAGGTATCTGGGAGTTAGACAGCTCCAACAGGCTGCTTCCTGGGGGTGTGTAACAAAAAGAAGGCCTGGTCGAGGACCAGGCGCGGGGATGTTAAGCCCCGAAATCGCCTCAAGATAAGATACTCTTAAACATTTTAAATTATTGAAAAAATTTACAAATACAAAATACCATATTGACATGTGCTTTATATATTTTAGGTGGGCAAACGGCAAGTGTTCCCAAAATTTCTGCAACATCGATCACCTTAAAGCTGCTTCGTGAGAAGGGCATATTGGGCTTGTATCGAGGAACAACAGCCACTATGTTACGTGATGTCTCATTTTCTGTAGTATATTTCCCACTTTTTGCCCACCTCAACTCCTTAGGACCACGCAAGTCTGATGGTTCAGGTACGTAACTTATGAAGTTGTAAATTATTAATTTAGAGTTACAGTATAAAGTTGGTGAAACAAACTACATTATAGTGGAGCACGCCAAATTTGTGTAGTTTTATTATACAACCTAGTGCTGTATTGTACTCTCTTCCTCATTTTTGGATTTTAGTATGTACGAATTTGTATAATTTCCTTAAATGTAATTAGATTATGAATTAAAGTATTTCTCCATCCAGGTATTTGAAAACATTTTTAAAATTGACCAGAGTAGTATTGTCACCCTCTGGTGATTGTTTACTGTCTAGGATCACTGCAAAATCTTTCCTTGCCCGAGTTGAACTTTGTAAAAAATAAAAAAAAGTTTGTATGTTAAATGCGGTCTGATTTCATTTACTGTATTCCTCATCAATTACATTGCACTTGCTGACATAATTTTCAATTTCTATGTCTATGTCAGATTGAAGGGCACTACAATTTAGATTTTTATTCTTCTAAATAGCTTGGCTTAATCTGCAAACGTGTTTATATAACTACACCATATTCCTTCACATAGATCTTATAACTTATAAGAACCTTGCATAACTTATATAAACGTATGCCAAATATAGGTTGAAGTGTGGTGGAGCTTGTAATTACCTAAGTGTAATTACCCAAGTGTAGTTACAGGATGAGAGCTAAGCTCATGGTGTCCCATCTTCCCAGCACTCTTTGTCATATAACACTATGAAATAACTAACAGTTTTGGCCTCCACCACCTTCTTGCCTAACTTGTTCCAACCGTCTACCACTGTTTACAAAAGTGAATTTTAATATTTTTCTCCGGCAGCTTTGTTTCGTTAGTTTAAATCTATGACCTCTTGTTCTTGAAGTTCCGGGTCTCGGGAATTCTTCCCTATCAATTTTATCGATTCCTGTTACTATTTTGTACGTAATGATCATATCACCTCTTTTTCTTCTATCTTCTAGTTTTGCATATTTAATGCCTCTAATCTCTCCTCGTAGCTCTTGTCCTTTAGTTCCGGGAGCCACTTAGTGGCATGTCTTTGCACCTTTTCCAGTTTATTAATGTGCTTCTTAAGATATGGGCACCATACAACCACTGCACATTCCAGCTTTGGTCTAACAAAAGTCGTGAACAATTTCTTTAATATTTCTCCATCCATGTATTTAAAAGCAATTCTGAAGTTAGAAAGTGTAGCATAGGCTCCTCGCACAGTGTTCTTAATGTGGTTCCTCAGGTGACAGTTTTCTATCTAGAACCACCCCTAGATCCCTTTTTTTGTCAGAATTCTTTAAAGATTTCTCACATAATTTATAGGTTGTGTAGGGTCTATGTTCTCCAATTTCACATTCCATAACATGGCATTTATTCACATTAAATTCTATTTGCCAAGTGGTGCTCCATATACTTATTTTGTCCAGATCTTCTTGAAGGGCATGACAATCATCTAGGTTTCTTATCTCAGCATCATCAGCAAATATCTTCATATAATTCTGTATTCCATCTGATAGATCATTTATGAAGACAGTGAACATTACCGGTGCAAGAACTGAACCCTGTGGTACTCCATTTGTGACATTCCTCCAATCTGATACATTGCCTCTGATTACGTCCCTCATTTTTCTATCTGTTAGGAAATTTTTCATCCATGTTAAAAGCTTACCTGTCACCCCTCCAATATGTTCCAGTTTCCAGAACAACCTCTTATGAGGAACTCTGTCAAAAGCCTTTTTTTAGGTCCAGATAAATGCAATCAACCCAACCATCTCTCCTGTAAAATCTGTGGCTTGATCATAGAATGAGTAAATTCGTTACACAGGATCTTCCAGATCGAAAACCATGCTGTCTGTCTGATATTATATCGTTTTTCTCCAGGTGTTCTACCCATTTAGTTTTAATTATTTTTTCCATTGTTTTGACTATTACACTTGTCAAAGACACTGGTCTATAATTGAGGGGGTCTTCCTTGCTGCCACTTTTGTAAATTGGAACTATGTTAGCCATTTTCCACACATCAGCTACAACTCCTGTATACAGGGATGCCTGAAAAATCAGTTGAAGTGGAATGCTGAGCTCGGGTGTGCATACTCTCAGAACCCATGGTGAAACTCCATCTAGACCAACTGCTTTGTTCTTACTTGGCTCCTTGAGCATTTTTTCCACTTCGTCTCTAGACACCTATGTGCTCCATGTTGTTCTCTGGAATTCTTATTGTGTCTGGTTCCCTGCAGATTTCCTTTTGTACAAACATACTAGGGCATGTTTTGTGCAGCTAGGGCGGATGCAGTAGCCTCTGTAGTAAAAATATGAAGGCGGTACTTGGATTTGACCTGAATTTGTTCACTGCCGGTGGTAACTGGCATAACTAAGCTTTGCTTGATCCTTGTATTTTTAATCTATTAATTTCATGTGCACAGTGTCCTATAAAGAATGCATGTTTTATTCTTTAATACTTTAGAACTTTTAAAGGAATGTATTTCCTGTGATGTAGAGTAACTCCTATTTTCTTTTATCTAAATAATTACTCTAATAGAAGCTATTCCTACACAGGAGAAGCAGTCTTCTGGTGCTCATTTCTGGCTGGTTGTGCATCAGGATCACTGGCAGCATTAGCAGTTAACCCATTTGATGTGGTTAAAACAAGATTACAGTTACTGTCTAAAGGTGCTCATGAAACACAGTATACTGGTATACTTAATGCTATTGCGTAAGTATTCTCTGCTGCACTGCTGTTACTTTTTTTTTTTTAAGAAATGACAATATCAGAGTTGCTTAAGACTATAAAACATTACTGCTTAACTTATACTTGTTCTAGTAAACACTAAGATAAGAACTAGTAACTCACACTGGAAACTTTGATCTTCATGTTTTTTACCAGAGACCACACCAGTGCATACAAGGGGGATTCTCATATTCCACAAACTGCATCAATACAAAATACTTTACATGTGGGAGCAGTCTACACAGACAACACCCATAACTGGAAACCTTTTGGTCCGTGGAAGAAATTGTTTTAAAACCAGTAGACACTTATACATTATGCACTGATTATTAGAGCTGCAGTTTACTGTGCATGTTCTACCCAAGATGCATTTGGTGGTGTTAAAAGGATAGAGTAAGGAATTAAAATGTCATGGAAAATTGTGGAGCCAGAAAGTCGGTAAATCATAAAATTTAAGGATGTTTATTGAATGGTTTGATTAGACTGAATGATGGTAGTCTTCACCGTTTATCAGAATAAATTTGAGGGTAGGAGGAGAGGAAGACTAAGAAGATGAATATACTTTGCGACTTAGTAAATGTGGAAATTTTTAAGTAGCATCTTATGGAAAACACATTACACAATTGTATGAATCTGCGTACCACTGCTGTGGCTACGTGATGCTGTGTAGTTGTGGGTGAATAGGAGTGTTTTTGTTTTTTAGTATACTGTATTTAAATTTTTCATATATGGTACGTATTGCCTTCAATTTCCTCTTTCCTGAAGCTAAAGTAATGCTTCCCCATCCCAGGGCTTTCATGCATTATAGGACCAAGTTATAAGCCAGATAACTTATGGATTTTTGTCTGCCTTCTATAGATGGCTTTTCAGTTTATTTTTTAAGGTCATGATTATACAGTAATCATTAAAAATGGCTGTGAGAAAGTAAGCAGCTAGCCTGAGATTCTATACTAAAGATATAGTAAAAACAAACACTACTTGTAATTGTTTTGGATTACCTTATTGCTAGGATCGTCTGGACAGTTGACCTGGTGACCACCATTTCTGGTGCCCTTGCCAGCTCAGCAAGAGCACAGTACTTTATCATATCCAATCTTTAAGAAGGTATGATACTACAGCTCTGAGGAAATTAATACAAAATCAATACTACTGTAGATTAATAGTGTGTGTAATGAAGAATTGACTTTGTGTTTACTTAGCATTTAAAAAATGTGTAAATTAAGCAAACCACTTTAAATATATTGACAGAAATTGTGAATGCACATTCTGACACCTCCAATACCTACAACATATCATCCAAGACCTGTTCCAGATTTGCTCAAATCTGAAGGTTCAGAAAATGTGCTATTTTTGGCAAATTGACTAATTTTATGAGTTTTTCTTACAGCAAATGATAACGATGCATGTTTATGCATAGACACAAATAATATATGCATGATATATAAATGTTTGTGTGAATATTAATGATATGGGGAAAAAATACAGAAATTAATTTCACTTGATGCTTTGATGCACAGGCTGGTCTTGATAACAAAGTTAGCAAAGTGGTTACAATACTATATATTGCTATGTAGTACCATCTGTTAAACTTTTGCAATCACCCTAAGCTCACATTGAAGTCCTCAAGGCACATGGTTAATGCCATTCTATCAACTACCGACTGTAACTGTCCACGACCATCAACAGCCAACACCAGGTTACATTGCTGTGTAAACCATTGTTAAATAGTATCATCAAAATCCTCATGTTTATAAGGTTCCAATGTTTTTGTCATTACTCTTGCCACCACTATTCTCCATTTAGTCACAACTATACGATATGCTTCCTTTGTCTCTTAATGTGTCTTTCCAGCGAAAAAAAAAAAAAAATTCTCTGCCAGCCACTTAGAAAAATGTGATTGCAACAGCCTAACAAATTTGTCTTATTATTCAAGGTGTGAATGCTCCTCTTACCTTTGTCTGATGGACCCACATGACTTGCTGCATGACATGACTTCATCTTCCAAGTACAGTAATGATATATCTGAAGAGAAACAAGTAAAAATTAGTTTAATAATGAGAGGCCAGACAGCACTCTCACAATGAAAACAGTGCACATGCCCTCTCATTAGGTCTGGATGCCTCTGAAAATATCATATACACATACTTGTTTTTAAAACATAAATGCATCACTGTGAATAATGTATTTGGTTCATTGTTTAGAAGCATGAGTTACAGGGAGGTTTGGATTTGGGAGGCTACACCATATAAATATACTGTAGCCACTGTATGTTCATTTCGGTTTTTTAAACAAATTTGAGGGGAGGGGGAGCATTCTATTTTGAACAAGATTTTTCAAATCATTATGCCCCTTCCTAATGTACTAGGCCATAACATTTATGAAATTGCTTGGGTGGTACAATTTGCTTAAATAAGTTACAAATTGACAAGATGTAATCAATGTGCACATGTTTGAAACAGCCTTATACATACATGTAACGTTGGTGCTGCCAGGTATAAAATGTATATCTGGAAAAGTAAAAAGGACCAGTATTGGAAGATATAAAAGCCATGGTTGATGAAAGTCAATATTGAAGAAAAACTGGCATGTTTTATATATTTTTTCTTTTTTGCTATGGAAAGGATGATTTGGTGGAAGTTAGCTGCTATAAATATGATGTTAGCAATATAAGTTTAAATTTTTTAGTTTGATTTCCAGTGTATTCATTACATGTATTCATTACAGCTAGAATGGTATTGATTTTACCAGTTAAGAATAGATTCCAATTCCAAATTGGAGCAAGTCCGTAAGGCGTAACACGTGTGCAACTTGAAATAACGTTTCCCCAAATCACATGGAGTTACCTTAGGTGTATATATATATATACATAATGGACAGTGTGTATAAGAAATTGTTGTATGAAAATTACAATACATAAATTTTGTTTTGCAGAACTATTATGAAGGATGAAGGACCTAGAGCATTTTTCAAGGGTGGAGCATGCAGAATGATTGTAATTGCTCCTCTCTTCGGGATAGCACAGATGGTCTATTACTTTGGAGTTGGGGAAGCCATTCTTGGATATAACAAGTGAACATAGCATAAGGTAAATGGTAAGCTTGTAGATACTTTTTTGATATGTAACAAATAAATTATAAGTAGGCATATTTTCTTAGTGTAAACTATAAACTATCAGTGTAATATCTGTGTGTTCATTGTAAGTACTTTTGTAATGCTTGACTTTTATATAGCTTGTGTAGTGTACTGACTAGCAATAGATATGTTTTAACTACTGGGTAATTTTATTTTGGAATGGATAACCTTGTTGGTTACCGTAATCCTATTAGGGAAAATTTTTGTCTGATTGAAAATCAAAGACCTGATGTAATGAGTACCAAAACTTATGAATTGCTGTTGCCACATGCTTAAATATCATAATCTAAATACTTTATCTACCCATTTATATTTGGTGTCCTTCCTTTTACCATTTTTGTAGCAAATACGACACTTCAGTCCTTTCTGGATGTGTAATAGGGAATGGTTCAAGTTCCTGTTCAGATGTTCTTGTTTATCAACAATATGAGGGTTTCTCCTAGCAGTAGCACCAGAAGGAATAATCTGACTCTTGTCTTCTGAGTTAGATGATTATTCGTCATGCTGAGGTGAAGATGGGAATAGTCGCCGCCTCACACCTGTTGGTCCAGGTGTTGCAACATTGTCACCAGTAGATGTGCCCCCATCATCATGTACATCATCAGCATGTTTGATGTCATTTTGGAAAGGCCACTTCTTGGTCAAAATTCAGTAGTGACCAAATGATGACTTTATGGAACTGTAGCAATGTGAGTTTCTTTGTATCGGTTGTATAGTACTGGTATAACACAAAAGCATTATGGATAGCCATTTGCATAAAGTAGAACATGATTTTCTTCGTCCACTTGTGACATTTCCATGTGAAATGATATCTGACTGTTTGGTCGAAGTGATCAACACCTTTCATGTTGTTATTGTAGTCACAGATTGGATTTGGTTTGTTCACAGTGACTTGTTGCAATGAAGATGTTCCGTCAGGTTTGTGTACACGTTTCCTTCGTTCCACTTGTTGTGTATCTGCATTGTGGGAAGTTGTGATGAGTGAAGCAACTCGCTTATCCTTGCACAGAATTGTAAAAGTATTGTCCTTATGTCGGAATACTGTTTTATCTACTGGCAGTTTACCCTTTGCTTGAAGCTGAAGATCTTTTGGGGCACCACACTGCAATCTGAGAGTACCACAGGTGTATACACCTTCTTCAAGGAGCTTTTCACTCAGTTGAGCAGAGTTATAGTAGTTATCCATAAATAAATGGTAACCTTTGTTCTTCAGTGATTCCATCAAACCCATAACCGTTTCAGTTGTTGTCTTCCCAATTCCTGCATACACCTCAAAATCATAGACATAACCATGTTTGGCTTCAGCTAGCATGTACAGCTTCACTCCATACTTATCAGGTTTATTTGGATTACAAACCTTGAAAGCTAGCTGGCCCCTCCATGACATTGTACTGTACCTTCATCCAAACACATTTTTTTCGTCGGAATGTATAATGTTTGTTTATTTTTTAGATATTCCATGAATATTCCAACTTTGATTAAGTCTGTCTTTATTGTCTTTGGGAATGGCATTATTGTTATAGGCATGAAAGTTCCTTGCAATCAATTCATATCATTTCGACGTCGTAAAAGTATTGAAACAAAGTACATGCCACATTTTACCTGCTTGCCAGTACATTCTCATTGCTGGCAACTTCATAATGCCCATCAACATTGTCAGTCCCAAATATCTGGTCAGCTCTTTTACACTCAATTCATCCTTTAATAGCCATGACCAATATGCATTTATTGGTCATGTCCTTGAACAAATTTATTTTCATAACATGTATGAGTTACTTTCAGTATTATTTATCTGTAAATTAATTGCCCCCATATTCCATTTTTGTTTTACATGTAATAAATTGACAGTTAAAAAAGAAAGACATTTTGACTTACTTTTACCATTTTGTAGGATGGTCCTCGAGGAAAAGTCAATAGGTTGGGCTTGGTCAGTGAAGCATATCATTAGTGAAGTGGATACATTGATCTCCTGCATACCGATTCCTTGCCATGGTGAGTTGAGTATCGCATACTGGTTTAAAGTAACAACAAGCTTGTTTACAGTCTTCTCAGTTAATAGTATCTCTGCTCACACAGCACTTGTTGTTTCCTGTGTGTGTACCTTTGTTAAATCATACTTCCCAAATTTTATTTTCCCAGTTTTTTATGCTAAGTAAAATAACTTGTGCTTATTCCATAAACTTGCTTCTTAGTGCAGAATGTGTTTCTACTTGCATAGTTTAACTACTAAATTCTCACAAAGAAATTGTTACATTTCAAATGTTAGAATAATTTTCAGCATTTAAAAATGTATGAAGTCATTATTTAAATTTTGTGTTAGTGGTTGAAGCTGGTATAGAAGAAAGGCAGGTTTTAAAGGTTTTAAATTTTTTAAGGCAAGAGATAAAGTGGAGTACCTAAGGGAAGTGTTGATTTGGATGTAAAAGTAAAAAAAAAAAAAAAGAGAGCGCATTTTGTGACTGGCATCTCATAAAATTTACTTAAAAAGGTGGAATAAATTAGGTGGATTTATCCAATACAACAAATGTGAAAATGAAATTGTTTTGTAAAAGGAGTTAAGGCTTCTGTTAAGCTACCACTCTACTAACAGTATTTGCATTGAGGAATTGCATGTTCGTGATGTAGTGTATGTATATTGAGAAAATATTATAGTACAATACTTAAGTAAATACTGTAGGTAATTGTTAGTAACATTCTTCATTGTTGCAATGGTTAATGTACATAGGAAATTCTTGAAATAAATTCTGTTTTTAATTCTAATTTACAAAGCAGTAAATATTTTATAGGTAAAATACATAAATTTTTGCTTACATATTTGGCAAATTTTAATAAGATATAAATGCTTAATACATTTAATGTTCTGTTAATATACAGCTGTACAGTGTCACCTCAGATTCGGAACTTAATGAAAAATTTTGCTCAAATTTGTAATGATTTTAATATAGGAAAAATGTGTTAAATCATGAAAGGTGTTTCTGGATACCAGGCATACTGTACCAGGTATATTAAAGTTGACACTGACTGCAGCCTTAATACTACAGGGTGACTGCAACTTGTCCATATACCAGTACTGAATTCAAAATATAATAAAGTACTATACACAAGGAATACATATTACAATAGTATATATACTTGAGTAAATATCTCCATAAATATTAATTAAATTGGGTATCGATAATATTTCATAGAAAATCTTAGAAAATTTTGAGTATGGGGAAATTTGATAGTCCTGGTTCATACACATTTAAAGTCAGGGGGCCACGGTACCTTTGAAACGTGTGGTTTCGAGTTTGTAGAGAAATAATCAAGATGATGGAATCTGTTTACAGTAAGGTTTTCCTGGTCGATACCCTTCATGAGACGGTGAAATTAGGATTTCACTCGGAAAAATTAGCTCTTACCCCAAAGTGTAAGAAAAAGGTTGTGAATCCCATTTCCTTTAACCCTTTGAGATCAGCTATTGAAAAATTCTCATACTATGCAGAAAAAAAAATACTAAAAATAATTTTTCATTAATTTGTATGCAAAATGTAAAAAAAAACATAATGAATATGTACCTTTTTACTGGGTGCAGAAGCTGCGAAAAGTTGCGCGGCAGCCGTGTGCTCTGGCATCAACATGGGTATTTTGGCCAGAACGCTATGCGTGTTAGTAGGTTTGCAAGAATGTAAAAATATCCAATGCTATGTACTTGCAAACCCAATTTACCTTCTTGTATAAAAATAAATAGATAATAATGTGAGACACAACTCCTGTGTTCTTCTTGTATGTTTCATTGTTTATCAATTGTTTATATTTATTTACAAGAGCATGTGTACTGAATAACTTGATAATTCGCTTAATTCACAAAAACTGAAATAGAGTACAATTCTAACTTATAATTATAAAATGTTTCTAGCTTCAAATATATGTATGTACATTATTTACTATGTTCCAGCACCATTTTATACTTCAGTACTTTTTCAACACATGAGCGTCTCTGAAACACGCGCGCGCACACACACAACTTGGGTAATTACACCAGAGGGCCTAATTGGCACCATATGGGCAACAATATGGACTAAAATAAAGGCATATCACACCCATGCACCACCTACATATACTGTAAGGCACCTAGTACACTTAACGCATGAAAAGTTTCAATTGATGATTTGTTTACCTGGTTTACCAAACCACACATCAGAAAATGAAGACACATCAATGTTTTGGTCCATCCAGGATCATTATCTATAAGTGTGATGACAAGTCAGGTCAGACCGAAATGTAGTAAATTTTCTGATTTAGTCATCGTGTCCTTGGCTATGTTATTGTGACTTGTCTGCTTATGGTTTATCTTGGATTCTTCATTACAACCATATAGAGTTGAGAAAACCATATAAACATAATATACCTGGGTGTTAGGCTCTGAGCATTGACATGGAGTGTAATTGGTACCATAGGGCAACAATATACTGTAGCTTGAAACAAAGGCCTAAGATGACAGCAGGCTCCTAGTACATGTAATGCATGATAATGGTTCAATTGATGATTGGTTTACCTGGTATACCTCATTACAACCATATGAACATCATTGGTATACATAGCATGTAATTATGATAATTTTATTAATGATTACTGCATTCGCATAGTAACACTTGTTACTGGTACATTTCGTGTACCACACAGGTGGTATGTGAACAAGAGGACACAGGTGGAAACCGAGTACTTAAATGAGTCACAGGGACGTTAGAAAGAACTTTTTCAGTGTCGGTAGTTAACAGATGGAATATATTAAGATGTGGTGAAGGCAGACTCCATACACAGTTTCAAGTGTAGATATCAGAGCCCAATAGGCTCAGGAATTTGTACACCAGTTGATTGACAGTTGAGAGGTGAGACCAGAGAGCCAGAGCTCAACCCCTGCAAGCACAACTAGGCGAGTACTTATGATAACCGTATTCACACAATGTAATGTAACCATAAAAGAATAGCAGGATTTTTTAATGAGTCAGGGTAAACTCCATTACATCCATATAGAGCTATTATATCCTTATTTGCATCATGTGTGTAAATCCCAGACAATAATAGTTTAAATCAATGTGATTTATACGTATATGAATATATGACGATAACCACTCTCTAAGGGTTAATGTTGCTTCTCCGATTTTCTAATGATTTTCATAGGTCGAGCATAACGACTGTAGTAGTAGTAGTAGTAGTAATGGGTGATAATGTGGGAAGCCATTGAGTATACAGTAATTATAACAAACTTTTAAGGATTGTTTTCATTTTGAGGTTTTTGTTTACTGTACGTCGTGAAGCTTCCTTTGAAAAATGGGGGTTAGGACACGTTTTTTCTTAGCTGTACAAAAACATATTACACTATGTTTTGTAAGTTTTTTGTTATTGATATATTAAACTATTATATATATATGGTATTGTGCCTAGTAAAAAAAAAATCCAGAATGATAAAATGTGCTGTAGTCAGGCTTTTCCAGGTCCCACTGTATGTTAAAGTTGTATTTTATATTAACAAATGTGTAGCTAATTCAAAATATATTCACATAGTGTTCTAGTGATGACCAAACCACACGTCAGACGATAGAGAAATGATGACATTTTGGTTCATCCTGGACCAATTTTGTTTACTCTGGTGACTGTGACTGTCCTCACACCAGCTGCCACCCTCTTGCCTGTTTATTCTCTCTTAATTATGTTAACGACATATTTACATGCCTCAGAGTCCACACAGAATTCAAGTCCACACACGACTTGATAATGGTCAAAAACAGACCAAAAAGTAGTCATTTCTCCATCTTCTGATATGTGGTTTGGTCATCAAATCTTCAGCCACGTTATTGTGACTCATCGTCTTCATAATCTTCTGGTCATAATTTGTCTATAAAATGGAGCACAAAAGGCAGCACACCAGTGATAATTGTCTGGGTCACTGAGTGTGCTGTTGCTTACAGTATGTAATGTCAACACTAGTGGCAAGTATTTCCCACTAATTTCACATACTAAACACCAAACAAAACACTTAAATTTGAAACCAGTTTTTATTTTTAAGTAATGACTTTAAATAAATTGCAGTGCAGTTTTGACATGAATTTATATTTCTGACCCGACAATTTTCTTGCAAAACTTTAACTATTGTAAACGTGTAAATAATCTTGCAAGCAATTTGTTAATAAAATGTAGGTCTCAGGAAATATGCTGGTACTGTGTACATTACATTGGGCAAAGCTATTTTTAGTTCTGTTGCAAGATCTTAAACTTTACAACTAATAAGCAAAGTACAAAGTCACTATCTAAATTGTACTGAATGAAACTTAATGAATATGAATGTGTTACTTGCCATCATTTTAAGCTGCATCGTTGGTATGCATAAAATGTATGTATATCTTACCTAAGAAACAAAATATATTTTTAAAGTACAGTACAAAGGAAGCATTTTTTTTTTTCTACATCTCGTAAGAAACTATATTATTCTCTCTGTATTATAAATTATTGCTTAAACTTGCCTTTGGCTTTTTACTTTGAATGATGTACATGTCACTCAGGTTAAACCCCTATGGATCTGACCAGTAACTACATGGGTGACAAAATGGATATACCTCTAACCAAAAGCAAGGTTATCTCCTAAAGCTAGGTGAAGGCTACTTGTACCTATCAAGGTGCTGTACATATCCACATTAGACACCATTTGCCCTATACCAATTTACAAATAATACTCATTGTAAACTTAAATGATAAAATAAACTTAGGAAATGTACACCTCGGGGGGACCTCGTAGCCTGGTGGATAGCGCGCAGGGCTCGTAATTCTGTGGCGCGGGTTCGATTCCCGCACGAGGCAGAAACAAATGGGCAAAGTTTCTTTCACCCTGAATGCCCCTGTTACCTAGCAGTAAATAGGTACCTGGGAGTTAGTCAGCTGTCACGGGCTGCTTCCTGGGGGTGGAGGCCTGGTCGAGGACCGGGCCGCGGGGACACTAAAGCCCCGAAATCATTTCAAGATAACCTCAAGATAACCTCATGGTTTCTACCTTGTCCTGGCAAGGGGGCTCCAAGTATTACATCCTCGGGATGGTGTGGGTTACTTTGGCCTTCTCCTACCCCTCTTGGGATGGCATATTCACAAAGGAACCCTGCTAGGGTTCTCACTGGACAGTCATTTTTGGAGGTAGGTCTTTAGTGTCCAGACTAGGATACAAGTGGGGAAACAAGATCTTTTCACTGGTATTGGAGGATGTTCTTTGGACTAGGACTTCCTTGTTGAAAATGGGTATTAGAGTTTGGGATGACGCCTGCACTGGCTTGTACTTTGCCTCCCTCACTGCCCTAGTACAGTATGTGATTTCTCGTGGCTTTGAGGCCAACCTTTTTAGAGCGATCAAATTTTGCTGGGTACCAACCCATAAGGTGCTACCTGAAATGAACTTGCTGAGGCCATTTGTGCTTGTTTTATCTCCCATGAAGCGATTCCTTATCAGGATTTCTATCCGAGCATTCATATTGCAATCTCCAACTGTTGGCAAGAGCAATTGTCTGGCATAAAGGTTAATGGACTGTGTATTCCTAAATATGGCCTTCCCCTTACCACTGGAAAAAAAAAGTGATGGGAAATGGCTGACTAGGCTGTCCAAGGGGCCATGCACACTTAACTAGTGTGGCGCTTAATAGAACAATACCTTGATTCTTGTTTTATGCTGGACAACTTTGTCCTGCATAAAATCATGCACT